CCTTAGACAAGATTTGAATATTAAATAACTGATTTGCAAATCAAGCAACTTAATGAAATGTTTTAAAAATAAAGCTAATATCCCTAAGAAGAATAGCTATTTGAAGGCGGAGAGCAGCTCAGATAGTACTGAGATGAGTCAGATTATTTTCACTATTTTATCTTTTACTCTTGAAACAAACTTAAAGCACACAGAGATTTGAAAATATATATATTGCTGTAAGGAAGTAATACAAATATCAGCAAGAACCACCTAAGTAAGTGGGAGAGGTGAGAGGAAGCAGGAAGAAAGGGAGAAGGAGTTTAAGCTAGCGTAGAAAATTTCCTCCCCAAAATCATTTGAATGTAATAAGAAATTAATTTATTGTATGTATTTCCCACTACAATTATTATTATTACTATTTTGTGACCCAGGTTGCCAATCTACATGTATTCTCTTGATAAGGACCCCAAACCTTCAAATGGCCTGCATCACGCTCTTGCAGGAACTGAAAATCTGCACTTAAACTTAAAAGAGGGTTAGGGTGAGATATAGCAAAACTTTGATAAATCAATTGAATAGGAAACTGTCAATGGTTAATTTATAAGAAAGTCATTTAATTCTTCAAGGTGACTGAGTCTTTCTGTCCCTTACCACTGTGCCTCAGAACTTGGCAGGCTACATAATTGTGATAGCTCTTTTCACTACGCAAAAATATCAGACAGATGTTTTGACCATTAATGAGAGTTTAATCCAGGCTGGGGCAATCTGAGACCCAAGACCCACAGGATCATAGAATCATTTATGTTGAGAAAGACCAATAATGTCATCAAGTCCAAACACAGCTGTCCCATGGTCCTTGTATGAGGGACACACGGGGTAAAGGAAATAGTAATACTGCAAAGAACAGCAGTGGAAGACAGAGAGGAAGTCTGGTAAGAAACTAACAGGACAAATCATGTTCCATTCCTTTTGCTCAAACACAGCTGGGAGGCAAACAAGGACTGGAAACTGAGGCCACAACTGGCAGGGCAGGAGCAAGCAGAAACACTGGGTGGTTAGTAGGTAAAAATGTGATGCAATTAAGAGGGGACATGGAGAGTGACAGGAGCCATTCAGTAAGTAGATTCATGGTCAGATGAATACCACTGAAGAGGTCAATCTGCTGCTTAGTGGACTGGGAAAGCCTTCAAGTACTACAGGATTTTTTTGCACCAGGGTTCACTGCAGCCAAATTGTTAACACAGTTAATGATTGTGACAAAAAAATGCTAAAATGTCAGCTTAAACTAAAGAAAGAACCATCTGGAGAGCATGGAGTTTAAGGGAAGAGGGGAAAGAAGGGTTAAGGAGTTTGGGTTCTCCCATTAACTGCTGTGCCATAGCTCAGGGCAGTGGCAGAGTAATGCTGCAAAGCATCTCCAGCCCTGCTGCAGCTGCACCCAGCCCATGCAGGATCCTTGCTGTGGGACCAGGCTGCCAAGGGCCTTGAACTCAGGAGCTGAGGGCTGGGGGCACCTCAGGACACCCCTCTGGAAGTAGGAGCTTGAGGCAGTCACTGCCGATCACGCACTGGGTAAGTCCCTTACCAGGCTGTCCTCTGAAGTGGACTAAGGATAACTTCATTTTCAGTGTTACACATATACTTGCACTGGCGTGGAAAACAAATTTTTAAGAAAATTTGGTATTTTGAAAAGGAATGGGAGGCCTTTTTGACCTTAAATGACATGCACAGTTCTCTAATCCTCTCAGAAGCAACCTCATCACGTCATGCTGACAATTTAGAGGAACTCCAGGCCACTCTAAAATCAGAGGGCATATGATTAGCATTAAACCGAAAAGCATTTTAATCCTGCCGTGAGATTAAAAGGGTGCTGAAAAACAAAGGAGCTCTCCTGTCTGCCTCTAATTGAAGTATTTCAGTATTTTTCAGTAAAAGAAGGGAGTTATAGAGAAGAAACGCATTGGGTGGACGGCAGTGTGGTTTGATTGCTTTCCAGATTTTACATCCATCAACTTTGGGAAATTGCTGCAGAGCCACACCAGTGTCTGGTCCGCAGCCCTCAGCCCTTGCTCAGTTCAGGAATGGCTTATCTGCAGCTCCCTAATAGGGAGGCTTACAAATAAGTGGCTCAGCCCAGTAAAAGCCACTTTATAAGCTGTCTGATACAATACAAAGCTTCCTTCTTTGATTAAAAGGAACTAGATTTATAAGAAGACAGCAGTGGTAGGCCTTCCCATCAGTTAATGAGAGCACACTGTTTTATTAGAGCAGGAAGGCCAGTAAAAAATTATAGGTTTAGTCAAAGATACTTTGACAGGGAGAAAAAAAAATCAAATTTTGATGAAACGCCAGCTCTGCTCCCGTCCAGTTCCTTGGGGAGAGCCTCCATGATTTCAAGGGCCACGAAATCACTCCCTTTCTTGCTGTGTCAACAAGGGACAAGTCTTCCCCAGATATTTCCCTTCAAATTAAAATATTCAAGGGAATGAGCGTACAAATGACATATATTGAATTAACTTATTTGAAAGGGCTTCATTCATTCAGGGTTGGTTGCCCAGACGGCTTCTTCGGCTTCAGTTGCATATTAGTTTTCTTCACATTCCTATCTCTGTGCTTTTCAAATAGTTTATGAAATGTAAAGTACAAAATATATATGCTAAAGATTGAATCTGAAAAACACATGCACATTGGCCTGCATTGACCAAATCTGCATTTCTGAGGACCGAATTCAAGCACCATACTGGGGCTGCAGAGTCAAGAAAGCAATTCCTTACAATTAGGCTTCAATGATCACTACTCATTTCTGAAAATGAAAGCTGCTGACTTCATGTGTGGAAGTGCTAGTGGGTTCATGGGCTGGTTGTGACTGAGAACAGATATCTTCAGACCAGTCCCCAAATCCTTAAGGAGGTTGCCTGAATGAACTATAAATCTCTTAATTTATTTCTCAGTCTTCAGGTACTTTCACACCCTGGGTTAGTTTTACTGAAAACAAAGAACCAAACAAACCAAGGTTGCTAATTTTAAATTGATTGCAAATGCAACAGTGTGGCTAATTATATTTAATGTCATAACTCGATAAATGGATCACAGCAGAGAAGAGGAAGTGTATCTGGCAGCTCAGTATTTCTAGGGTAAGCGTGTGGTAGATTTAGCCTTTGCTTTAGGAATGTAATTTGGGGACCAAGTCCCCAGAATTTTAGCGGGGGTTTGGCCAACTTGTCCTGACTTCTGTATCCCCATGGAGGAAGGTGCTGGAGCTTGAGACCAGCACACCTCACTGCACTGGTCCTCCAGCTCCGTATAGAGGGCCATGGAGGAGGATGGCTGGCTCTGTCTGCTGTCTGAAGGGGTTGCCTGGGGGCCTATTTCTGGGCTGTTTTACTCTGGTTTCACTCAAAGTCCCATGCAGCCTAGGACTCCAGTGGCAACCACAACAATGGTGAGCAGGAGATAAAGCATGACTTTATTGCTGCTTTAACACACCTTGTTAAAATGAACCTTACAACCTAATGATTTTAAAATTACTCTAGAGAAGGCCTTCTTTCATCTACTGCCAGACAAGATAATGATTTTGCTGTTCATTTTTATTTGTGCTCTTTAAAAGAGGAAGCCAAATGCAGACAGTGCAAATAAAACTAATGCCCTTAAAAAACTGAAGACATAAATATTGAATCAATGGAACAGCACTCTTAAGCATGTGAAACCCATCTCTAGGATAATAATAGAGACAGCTAAGAAGTGAGATTAACTTGAGATTTTTTTTTTTTTTTCTGATAAGTTTTTTAAAGAAAACTAATCTCTTTTCTGTTTGCAAGCTGATACTTCAGAGGTTCTGGCTAGGCCTGCATACATGGCAGCTTTCTCCTCAGACATAAAGTATGGTTCTAGTGCAAAGGTTTACACATTAAATCAGCAACACAACGAATAACAACGCAGAGGTGCAAGACATAATAGAACATTGCTCATGAAACTTCCTTCAACTGTTTTTGTGTCATTATAGATCAAAAGTTCATCTCAAAGACTCTGGTGGGACTTTTCATTTGCCAAAACCTGAGTAAGTACTAGTAGTGCAGCAATAATCGGGCCCATGTAGAAAAAAAAAATAATAATAATATTGCATCTTGAAGATTTTTTAATGATTTTCCAGCATTTGAAATCCTCAGATGACTGTGGGATTTTCTTAAGAAAAACCAACATGAATTGAAGAACAAGCAGTGCTCTGCTGCAAGGAACTTTCATCTCTAGGAGTGCTCAGCATGACAGGGGACATGCAGCTGTTTTCCCAGAAACGTTTCCCTCAAGAGGGAAGCATTAATTCCAACGTGACTGTAAAAAAGTCAGAAGCCTGAAGATCTTGCCCATTAAAACACAAACAAGAACAGCTCATGCCTCCTCTGTCATTCCAAGTGTCATCCCTTGAGCAATCTTAGGAGGACTGGCACTAATGCTTATTTCTGGCTATGCAAGAAAATGCCTGCCACTTAAAAATATCAGGAGTGAGGTGAAGTAGAATTGCACGGTGGGGTTGTCCTTCAGTGCAGATGGCTAACTTCAACCATACAGAGAGCATCTGAATTATTTAAATGAATTAATTCCTTAGAAATTCCCCATGAAAAGTTTGCATGTTAACAACATGGATGAATAACCTTATAAAAGGCAAATCTCTGAAAATTAAAGCCAAATTAAGAAGGTATTGGGAGCTTCAAAATTAAGCTCATCAAGCACTTTAGTAAAGTTACATGATCTGGAAAAAAAAAAAAAGTCTTCCCAGAGCTACAGAATTATTCACCTCTTTCAGAATTAATTAAGAAGGGCAATTGAAGATTGACCTAAGCAGAATAGAAAATGGTTATGTCAAAACAAACAAACAAACAAAAAACAAAAAACTAACCAAACAAAAAAACACCTTGATGTTGAATTCACAATGTTGGATTCACAAGCAAAGTTGGTTGGTTGGTTGTTTATTTGTTTTATATTTTTTAATTAAAAAGAAAAAAATCTGATGAGGAAAGCAATGCCATGATGTTTGAGTGTTTATGGGAGGGTGGCAGAAGAGCAAATCCCTTGTATGGAAGCTTATGCCAGGCCTCTCCTGCTGCCATGAGCAAGAGGAAGAAATACCACAGGACTGAATGATTGTAGAAAGAGGGAAGGAGCAGGGTAGAGGAGAGCTTTGATCCCTTAAGGTCTCATTCAGTAAACAACATTCCCTTGCTTGACCATCCTCCTTTTCTTAGTCAATGTAGATTTAAGTGACTTTTTCCTATTAGAGCTACTTGGGCTTTTCAGCCCTGCCCATGTTTATGACCAGGTGACTGGTCAAAACCATGTCATGACCATGTGTCATAAACATATGTCATTTCTATCCCTGATGTCTTCAGGACCCCCCTTGCCCTACCCTCATTTCCTCCTGCAGTGCTCAGGCATCCTTCCCTCTCCTGCCTTCTGGGTACCACATCCCCATAGCAGGTCACACAGATCTGCCAAAAGTCTCTTCGAAAACAAGCAGCTGTGAGCAAGTTCCCACCACTCAAACATGAGTCTGATGCACTGATCTAAAAATAAGCCTTCACAGCCTGTGGGATGTGACAGCCCATTACAGCCCTCTCCTTTCCCCTGCTGGCTGCGTCCCCATGTGTTAGCAGTGGCACAGCTTCAGAGGCTGCACCCAGCAGACCAGGCTCCATGAGCCTGTCCATGCCCCAATATAGGAAGCAAGCAGCCGCTGAAAAACGAAGGCAGATCTTTGTGTACGTGTGTGTGTAATGGCTCAATGCAAATAGTGGTCTAGACAGCAGTCTGAGACAAATCAATACCTGCACTGAGGCTCATCGTGCCCCAGTAACTTCTATGACCTGCATGGCGAGGCTCCTGCTGGACAAAGGGGGAACCTGTGCTCCTGAGGGAAAATGCACTCCAGAGTAAATTCTCATTAAGTGAAAATTATTTGTTGATGAAAGGTTAAGCCAGTTGGCAAGTGGACAAAAGAGGGATGTACACTAGGGAAAGAGCAGTGTAATGGTCCCTGATAGATGCAGAGCTGATGTTGTTGTGGTTCAGTGTCAGCAGCAGAAAATACTGCAGCGTGCTGCTCCTTCCCCGTTAAGCACAGCTACTTCTTACTGCATTTTTAAGAGTGTGTCCACGAGTCCTACAGAAGAAATGGAAGAAATTTATTTTTTATCAGAAAATGAATGGAAGGATCTTTTTTCCATCTTTAATTAAATATTACAGAGCTATACATTTCTGAGAGAGATTTGGTCAAGTAACAGTGTGTCCATCTCCTCTCCTCCCCCCCCCCCCCCCCCCCATTAAAAAACAAGCAAACACTACCACCAACAAAAAACACACCATATGATTATATTCTGATTTTCTTATCATATTAGATACAAGAACATTCTATATAGATCTGATGAAGCAGCTTTTTCATTTACATTTCAAAGAAAAAAAAAAAAAAAGGACGTGAATCACGCAAGAAAAGAAAAGTAGTAAGACAATTAAAAAAAAAGAAAAAAAAGAGAGAGAGGGAGAGAGAGAGAGAAGAGCATCACATATCTATAGATACCTCTCAGAGATACCCTGGAAAGAAGAGCATTCCCAACTCACAGTAGCTTCACGCCTGACAAAGGCAAGCCCTTTCGACCATTTCACTCCAGAAAGCAGAGCGCTCACTACCTCTGTTTGAAGGGTGAGATGAGGGCGGTTTAAAACCTTTTTAAGCACTGTGTGCTGGCATCACCCCGTTAGTTTGTGCTTCTTCAGGTGTGTTGATGGAGCCCAACCACTGCCCCTGTTCCTGGGGAGGGGGATTGGAGGCAGACCCTGTCCCCCCTACTCTGCTGGTGCCGCCGATCTCCCAGCCCCTCGCTTCCAGCCGCCAGCAAGAGGCAGCCAGCAAGGGAACAGCCCAGCGGAGAGACAGCAAGCACGGCGATTTCAGCAGAGAAAGTCGGTCAGTTGTCAGTGGGAAGCAAATGGGTTGGAACCTAAAGGTGACTGAAAGAAGAGACCCAGATTACCGGCACTGTAAATTGGATTAAAATGAAGTCCTGCGAAGAAAATCAATGCAAAGCAATAAGGGAGCCAAACCGAGAGCTTCTGAGACAGGCACCCCTTGACAACCGATTCCAGGGAACAGGTAGAAAAGAAAAGAAAAATAAAGTGAGTCAATCCAAAACTGAATGATAGAAAAAGGCAAGTGGAAATTGGAAGAGATTAGAGAAAAAGTCCAAGGATTATATTTTATTTTTTTAATTTTTCATGTTTTGAGACAGATATAAGTCAGCATACAAAACAGAAAATGGGGGAAAAAGTAAAAGAAAAGGGCAATTTTATTTATGCCTTATAGAGGGTGAAATTAAGTATTTAATTGCTTAGGAATCACTTTTATACCATGAATTTCTTTACATGGAAATAGACTGATTGACGTGCAGATGTTACTTTTTAGAAAACAGGCTGATTTTTTTATTTTTTTCCCAATGCATGTGCACTCGCAAAACCTCTGAACTGCGTGTGCCCCCACTACATGCTCAGAAAAAAATGCATTTTTTTTCCCCCTCTTTTTCCCCAGGCTCGTTGATGCCGGCAGGCTGCGGGTGGCCGTGCCGGGAGGTGTCCCGGGGAGGGCTCTGCCTTCCCCCGGCGGCTCCCGCAGCACCGCTGGATGTCACTGTTGCTTCGTGGAAGACGAAATCTTTCTGACAGCCCTTTGACAGCTGACGCTGAGTAAACAAACGTAGACGCATTTATATCCCCTTCTGCAAAACTGTTCTGCACAAGGATGGAAATTACAGAAAGACCGGGCAAACCCCCTGCCTCCCACACGCATTTCTGATGGATGTTTTGCAGTGATTGCATTTATGGGTCCTTTTCAGGCATCTTTTCCATAAAAGGCTTCTTTCTGCAGTCCCAAAGCCTTTTTTTTTTTTTTTTTTTTTTTTTTTTGTGTGTGTGTGTGTGTGTGTGTGTGTGTGTGTGTGTGTGTGTGTGTCTGTTCCCTTTCAAGTAGCTTGAGGTGCTATTCAGCTGGCCAAATGAATACACGTCACTCTCTTTAAAGTCAGTAGAGAGGAACAGGCAATTCCAGGAAAGTGATTCATCCCACCTTAATGAAAATTTGTAGCACATGGCTCAGATAGTTGAAGTCTTGAAGGCTGCAGTTTCTCCTCACTGACCCTGCAGGAGCCTTGGGTGACCAGCTGAAGGGCAGAAAGTCAGATGAGATGAATCCCACCCATTTTACTTGATGCTGGAACCTCTGCAGCAGGGTTTTCTTGGAAGCAGTGTCTAGATCATTCAAAAATAAACCTCTCTCTGCTATTAAACATCTTCTAGCCAGATTACTACACCTTCCAAGATGGGGAATGGTTTGAGAGAGCCCTCAGTATGCCCTACAGAAAACAGACCAAGAGCTGATCCAATATTTCAGTAGCACGGACAGTCACATTCCCATGCCCAGAAAGGTTTCCATCACTGCTTACTTACCAGTGCTGCAGCCTATGTTTAAGAAAATATTTCCTTTTGCTATCAGGTACATAAAATCCAGTTGGGTGTTAGTTACCCAACCCAACACGAATGGTCCATGTCATGAACTGGCAGCCGTGGAGCTCTGTACAGAGGCACAGTGACAAGTCCAGGTCCTCTTCAGAAGTCAAGCAAGTCTGAACAGCATAAATAAGGAGAACAAGAAATTTCTCATAGTTGCCTGAATCACTTCATGGGAGGGAACTAAAAGAAGAGGTGGATATGGAGAATTAAAATGTAATTGTTCCCACAGAAAGTTAACAAATTTGGGACTAAAAGTCATGAACACATGGCCTGAGAGATTTGCCGATTTCAATTAAAAATGATGGCAAAACCATTAAGTGGAATAATGCTAGCTGTGCATAATGAATAGAAACACTCTTCAGTTCCTGCTATTTTTAGCAGTGCTCTTTTCATTTTGTACCCACAAATAAATGTTGTAGAAGGACTGGTATGGGACAACCGTCATTTAACATGGCACAGCCAAGTGTGTGAATCACCCAAAGTTAGTTTCAGGGAATCAGAATGAGTTTCCCAAAGGAAGGCTTCTAGGGCCAACCACCTGGAGCAGGGCTCCTCAGGGACATGACAGCCCATTTCCGCATTTTTCCCCAGCAGAAACCTCTGCCATTGCCTGAGTCTTTGGGCTATTGATACCTACAGGGATGGAGGAATGAAACTCGTCTCCCTGGTGCATGCACAGACACCCCATTTGCATCTTCTGGCTCTTATTTCTTTGCCGTTGGTAGGTTTGTGCCTGCCAGTGTTCTCTTCAGCCCATGGGCAGCCAAGCACACTCCACCACATCTCCCAGCCCACCCTACTCACTTGTCTGGGCTTTTCCAAATGGCAAGAGGCTGCTGTGCTGCCTGCCCAGCCAGGGCAAAGCTGCCCATCAGCTGTGGGCAAAAAAACAGAGCGTGCTCAGAGGGATGCTGCCAGGTGTGGGGAAGGATGAAATTACAGACCTCTGCCTCTTCCAGTGCTGGGGTGCTTGCACCAGACTCCACAGGTCCATGGACCTGAGTAACATCGCTCCCTCCTGGGACTGCTCTGAGCAGCAGGCAAAGCTAAAAATGTCAATTTCTGCAAATGGACCTTTATAAGTATTTTTTTCCCCTGATTTGCTGCCTTTATTCCCATTACCCAAAATGTGACTGGTGATTTACAGAAGATGGGGTAGACCTTCGCGGGAAAATTATGTCTGCTTGCTTTCTGAGCTGTTTCATGGCATGTGTCCCTCTGGTGGCTGAGGAGAGTGGCCTAACTCATGCTCATGGCTCAGGCACTTGGAGATCACCATGGCAAGGAGCTGGAAAACATTTTTAATTCATGTTCCATGGCACAGGGAGGCTCGGAGAGCAGCACAGCCCACCCCATGCCACGTGCTGGGGCATCCCAGTCATGCTGGAAGCACTTTGGGGAGGCAGTGACAGCCCGAGCAGTGAGATAACAGCATCACAGTGCGGCATCCTTTCAGAAAGCTTTCTGCATTTGCTCTTATCTCCGCGAGTTAAATGTATGCAAATTAAACTTGACTGGTAGCTGCTAAATAGGTATTTCTTGCCAAGAATATCTGCTCCCTGGGGTCTCCACCTCTCTTGCGTTTGCAAACTGCATCAGATGCCGCATAAGTCATCCTCCAAAATATGCTGACACTGATACCAATATCAGGCAAAAAGCTCCCAGCCCTCCCCGCTTTTTCCCTTTAATCTTTTTTTTTTTTTTTTTTTTTTTTTTTCATGATTTCAGGCTTTGGCTTTTACATTTCTAAAGCAATTAATTTTTTGGCTGCCGTGCAGGATCAACAGGTGTGGGATGACTGGCATGGCCCTGATACACTCCATCTGTTTGCTGCTGATAAGGTAATCCTGCGGGCTGAGGGGCAGTATCAGCAATGAGCTTAAGAGGCAGCAGCCTCATCTGCTTGCAAAGGAGAGCAGGACCCACGGCCAGCATTGTTATTCCACAGGAACAACTGGGTGCAGACTGCTTTTGCAGCACGGTGGGAAGGCTTCCACCCATGTATTGCCCCCCTGTGAGCGATGATTCAGCTGGTGCAGTTGTACCACTCTGGCAGATGATGAAAAAAAAAAAAAAAAAAAAGGCCAAAAACTATTTCTTTGCGAATATCTTGCCCCCCAGACTGTGATTTCTGAATCAACCCAATCAGTTGTTGCTTTGCTTCTTTACCTCCATAGACACAGGGGTCATGATTTCATTTTCATCATTCAGTGGGAAAAGATGACTGCCTGCATGCACATTTGGGTCTGTTGTTACCGCAAGGAATTGTGAAATTTCAGCCAACAGCTTTTGTGGTTTCTTCTATTGATTGTTTCTGCTCATAGCTTTCATTGTGTGCTCACCCAGTGCAAAGACAACCTTTAGCTTCCCCCCCAGCAAATGTATGCTCGGCCTTAAGGCACCGGGCAGACCTGACTGATCTCCCTGGAAAACCACAGAAGTTACCAGCTCGTACCCAGCCCTCTGGGATGGGAAAGACCCAGAGGACACTTCCAAGCTGCCACACACCCTATAACCCAAGTGGGCAGCACCAGCAGCCACATCAGCTGCACACAGGACAGGTTTTCCTGCTGCCCACTGAGGAGGCTGGTGTGAGAGAGCTGCTGCCATGTGCTGGATGTCATGCCCCGAGCATGAGCACAGAAAATGACTCTGGTGAGCAGGGCACTGCTTGGACGAATGGGAGTTATCACACACATTGCAGTTTTGGGAGTAATTAAACATGTATTTGTGTGTGCATGAGGGGAAAAGGAAGCTTTTTTATGCTTTGAGCAGCTGATGGTGCTAGAGACTGCACCATCTGCTGGTGAGCTGAGCAAAGGAGTTTCCAGCAAGGAAAAGTGAGGATTTTTCAGGTAAAAACTGGATGCACACAATTGATTCTCTACTCAGAGAGAGCTCCATGTACAGTGCCTCCTCTCCAAGGTCCTGAGGCACACCTGAGCACCGGCTTAAGGTTCCTCAGTCAGGAAACCAGTAGTACCAGTGCCAGAATTTTTACAACTGGCTGCTTGGACACAAAAGTGACTCTTCCAGCCCCAGGGAGAGGGGCTCCAGCTGCATTCACTGCTCTGCACTGGTGTCCTTGGGCCCCACTGACCCTCTGCCACCACTGAGCCCGTACTCACACCAGGCACACAGCCAAAGCACACCTGTTTGCACCGAGACAGGCAAGTAAGCAAGTGAGCACTGGTAATTACATGGAAGAGTTTACACGAGGCTTCCATACATTGCCTTTTGAACAAGCACAGGGCCAGCAGGTGATAGGATAGGTGCGAGGGCTGTCATCCCATCTCAGACACATCTCAGACATCTCAGATAAGCCTCAAATTCCAATTCCTTCTGTACCTGGGAAAATACACTGATGTTAATAAGTGGTGCCTGCAAACAGAGGATCCCTGTAAACAAGATTCATATTGGACACCACTATTTAGCTCTGCTTCAGATCCTTACAGAAGTGTTTGACGGCCCTATAGGGTTGCTTCTGTCAAAATGAAGAATGAAACCCAGAAGGAAAACCATAAATAGTGATTAATGAAGGACAGTGCGTATTTAGTCACAGCTTTCAATTCAGACTTTATAATTTAAACTTCACTAATCGTCCTCATGATTTTGGCATCTGCTTGTCCCAGCCTACACACTATCTTTGAAGTAACAGAGCGGCTTGTCTTTGCAATTAAGCATTCAATGTAGCAACAAATCTTCAATTTGATGTGAGTCACACAGCTGCTAAATCAAACAATGTGTCACTAAACAAACCAGTTTTCTCCTGACCTCATATGATGATAATGATGACTTGTGAAACTGTCTTGAGATTTCTTTGGTATAATTTGCTGGCACTTTCTGACACACTCGTTTTCATAAATATAATTGAGTCCTGTGTTGGAAATGGGATACAGCAGTACACAAACAGTTGATAATAGTCATCGTGGAAATGAAGACAATCCACCTCAAAATCAGTCACTGAAAAAGCAAAATAATTTTCTAAAAGTAATAGATGTAAGTACAGGGTGAGGAAAAGCTGCACCCAGATCAGTTCCAAGCATCACAAGCATCACAAGTATGTGCACAGACATTTTTAGAAATAACCCATCATCTTCAGCTTAATGCAGTCAAGGTGACCTTTGGTGACAAAACATTACTTAGAAACTCCATCTCTGCATTCAGGGACATAGGCCAGGGAAGAGCAGTGCTGAGGTAGCTGGGATGTGCAGTTCTGGGGCAGGCTGTGTTCCTAAAGCAAATATTGCTGTTACACACACTGTTATTTCACACTGCTGAAATTTCACAGAAGCTGGCTTTGGAGCCTTGATGGACACAGGCAGTTGCTTTGATGTCCACAGCAAATAGAAATTGGTGGTGCCCTTTTGTGTGCTTAGCCTTTTAGTGCTGCTCTTGAAGCCACCAGATCTCTGCAAGCCCAGCAAAGGGCACAGCTTTTTCCCAGCTGTAGCTGAAAACATACAGGAGCACTTTCACTTCAAAAGTACAAATGTGGACCATGAAATCACCTCTGTGCAGGCTTTGCTATTAGCTGCTGACACAGTGTAGTCAGTGGTCATCCTTTCAGGCAGCAGAATGGACTGTAGGGTTGACCTGATGCTATCTCCTCCCACCAGGGTCTGTGCCCCCATCATACGCCCGCTGAGCCCAGCTGCAGAGAAAGCAGCTCTCCCTGAGCCACCCAGGGCATCTTCCCCTTGGCAGGGCTCTGGAAATCTTGATGATGTGCCCCAGCTGCGGGGACAGGCCAGCTGAGGTCTTCCTGGCTAGTTGGGTAATTTTCAAAATAATGGCCTCAACTTTCTGCTTCATTTCAACTCAGAGGAGGGGGCAGATGCTTCCCAGGCCTGGCATAGGCTAAACCAGCAGGTACTCCACTGTAATGTCCTTAGAAGCTTTCACGCTCTGTAGCTGAAGGGGTCCAGCTAGAAAGTCAGTCACTTTTTTTCCTATTTATACCTCTGGTACACCTCTTCATCCGTTGGCATAAGCTCTTGACCCTCTTGTAGTGAACATAACATGCCCAGGCAGCTTCTCATGTCCACGTCAGTGTTAAATGGATTATGAACCTCTTGCACAGCACAAAATGAACTCAGCAATTTGAAAAATGGGACCCAGAAGCTGTGCAAGAGTCAAGATGTCATAGTCATGATGGTCTCCTGCACTCAGGCTAACACATTAATCTAATCATAGTATTTAATTAGCTTAATCAGCTTTTTGATTGTTCTGCACCACTTTACTTCAGTTCTAAAAATAATTTCCAAGGGTAAAAAACCTCACTTTGACAAAGGAGGAGCTTGTATGAAGCAAGAGAGGATTCAGCATTAGATACGGGTTGCCCAGGGAAGTGGTGGAGTCACTGTCCCTAGGGGTGTTTGAGGAAAGGAGAGGTTGGATGTGGTACTTAGGAACATGTTTTAGTGGCTAATACAGGGGGACAGTTGGACTACATGATCCTGGATGTCTTTTCCAACCTTAATGATTCTATGATTTTATATGAGCCATCATCTGCCTGAATGGACAAATGAACCCTATTCAACAGGCAAGAGAGAGCCACTTACTAACACAATTTCATGTTTCAATCAGTGCATCAAAGAGGAATAAAATAAAGTCACTCAATTTTGACAGCAGTGCCAAGAGAAATAGGCTTCATGCTCTGTATTCTCTTTAACAATTGTCTTTGTCTGCCTCAGAAGTAGTAGTAGAAGTAGTAGTAGTAGAAGTAGTGGTAGAAGTAGTACACTTCATGTACTACATGCAGTACAATGAATGCTATAAGCATAGCTGCTGATCTAAACAAACAAACAAACAAACAAAAAAAGTAAAATAAGATGCCAGCAAGGAAAAGACAATAGTTAAAAAATCAGTTGTTTCTCACAGAAAGAAAACAGAATTCAGAATGACATTTGCCACAGAAAGGCAACCACTTAGAGAAAACATGAAAGGTTTACAAGCCTCACTTGTCTTGATTACATACATTTATAAAATTTGATTTTGCAAATCTTCACCTTCATTTGTACCACTGACTTCATCTGACATCCCTCTGGCAGCAGAGGCTTTCCCACCCAGCTACTGCAAAGCTGGAAATGTGGCTGATTCCAAGCTGTCTCATTAACAAAAATCAAAATGAACAAACCTATTCCTTTCACGATGAAGGCATGATATGTATTTTCAAATTTAAATCTACAGACTGTTCTTGCAACATACTTTCATGTCTTCACAACAGCAGTAAATTTTTAAAAGGTGAAAGCTGAGATGCTCTCATATCCTACAGTTCCAGGAGCTGGAAGGTACACAGCTCAATCCCAAGGCTTGTGGTAAAGACAGGTCACAGAGCTATGGGTATATTCATACCATTGTGTATAGTCCTAAGGATGGAGTAATACTTAGGAAGGAGTAATTCTAAGGAAGGAGCCTGCTGCAGAGCGGAGACTGTGTGAAGGGCACAGACTATCTTGAAGGATGAAGCAGGATGTTCAGACACTCTCTAAAAACCCTTGCCATTGCTTGTGTCCCACTGCTGGCATTCACTTATAAATATCCACCAGGAAGATTTCAGAGGCAGGCAGATCTCCCCACATAGCTGTAAGTAAATGGCAGGCCTAATGCAACCAAGTCTTCAAAGTGTTCCTTCTGCTGTTTCTTAGAAGAAAATTGGGTCAGATCTAGCAGCTGAAGTGTTCTGGGAGCTTGACTTTAATAACAGTCTAAGCTATCAGCACACCACCCTCACACAGGCTGCCGCACGTACAATGGAGTGGACTTGCCGCTGTTACCATTTCAGGATGCAAAAGCCTGGAGAAGGGAGCGCCTCTTCCCTGCCCACATATCTCAAAATACACCTAAAAGGCACTTTGAGCATTATGACTCTGTTCAGCTGATACATAAATTATGTGCCAGCTGGAATGATGCTAGCAGGGCTTTTCTTTACACTGCTGGCCAGAAGAAAACTTCCAGGAGGGAGACACCAAGCAGGTTTGCCTCCACAAAATACTTGGCAGCCAGCCTCCTGGGAAGTACCTATGGGGGCTACTGGGTCGCTGCAGGCCAGGGGGGAAACTCAGTCCCCAGCCCCTCAAAAACTGTTATTTCAGTACAAATTTCTATGGCAAATATGTAATAAATGGACAGCCAGGAGAAGTATGGGAGTGAAGTGTCTGAGGGCAGTAAAGGCTGATGGGGAAGAGATGTGTGGGATACTGGAACTGGTATGGCAGCTTAAAATAAAAGATTTAAAACTACTTTGTACAATTTATTTTAATTTCTTACCTTGCCAAGACGGCACTTTTCTCAGCCTGATAAAAGTTAGTATGACTGCAGGTGATTGGTTTTGTGGTATCCTACCTGCACACTATTAATTATCACAAGCTTTTTAGGGTTCTTTTAATCTTTTGTATTCTAAGGACTCATTTACCGTAGACAAGGGGCAAACAACATTTTTGTTCTGCTTTATTTTAAAAATCTTAGCTGAAACTATTTTCAAAAATCCTCAACCACAATATTTAGCATGCATTCTCGTGATCTGCAAGATTGCTGCTTATTTTCCAATATTTGACCTTCAGAATATTATATTGATGCTTCAGAAAGGACTCAAATGCTCAGATGTTGACTTTCATGCCAAGTACAAGTTTCATACACTGGGTGGCATACACAGCCCTGTGCAAGCATTACTCTCTGTCTAGCTAGTCTGATCCAAATGTTTGTGATTGCATTGATAAATTTCATTACTCTGCAGCTTTTAATTATTGTAAAATTCTTCTCATTTTGAAGACCTTCATTAAATATATTCAATACTAAGATGTAGCAAGCAGACTTGAGAGTGCCCACAAATACAGCAGTAAATGCCAATTTTCATTTCTTAGCCAGAGCAAAAGGGAACCACCAATAAGTCAGGACTAGCAGCAGCTGACAGTAAATCCACCATCTATAAGAAACATATAGTTAACTAACTGGAATAATCAGATGTGTTTAGTTAATATGCAGTTAAATAACAATAATGTTAAAACAAAATAATAACTACAACACTGACTCTGAGATCAAGCAGGTTCAAGCAGGACAGGTTTTCCTGTAACTAGCTGAAATCTAGAGCAGGCCATCATGTTTTTAGCACCATTTTATTTCTCCTTTTCTAACCAAGATGTTTTCTCAACGTGCAGTTTTGACCCCTGATTTCTCCAGAAGGTTTGAGAGGTGCAGAGCTGCAGGATGGTTTTGGTCTCTTCCCTGTGGGAGGCAGGATTTTGGTATCCTCAAGCTGTGAAATGGATGTGCTGTGCTGTGCTGTAGCTGTGCCTCTGTGCAGGCTGGCTGCAATTTATCAGCAATTTCACGTGCTCAGGAATCCAAACACATACGTATAATCATATTTGTCTGCTGTGGTTTATCTTCAGCCAAAGAGCAAACAGGTTAACAATATCAGCATACTGAAAGAGCAGCCAGCAAGGACAGCATTTATACACCTGGGTGGTATAATACAGGAAGAAAACACAAAAGCATCATAAATCCGCATTTTAGAGCCGTAAGGGACTCATGCTTACAGCTGGCACATTTCAGGATCTCAAATTGCTTATATTAAATACCCATGAGGATAAGCAAATTGGGGATTACGGCGTCTGGTTTACACTGTCACCATGCCACATGTCCTAGAACATTTAGTCACCTGCTTTCCACTTGTATAGACACGCACCATTTTTAGGAGCAAACATTTAAGATGAAGTATTTGTGCTTTAAGCAATGCAGGAAAAGGCACAGACTGTCAACAGGAAAATCTAACTAGTCTGGCTCCATCTTACTGGTAGCAAAGAAAATATTTCAAAGAGGAAATGGAATTTTCTATCTCTGGGAGCTACTTTAAAATGAAGATTTAACAGCCTGCATGATCACAATGTACTTTGAGGCCAAAGTACATCATCCCTGAGGGCTCCCTCTTGGTCCCTTTAGCCCTGTACAGCATTTCTGAACCCAGCCTTGTTGTTTGTTGAGCATTTGGTGCCATAGGAGATTTCCAGTGTATTTTGCAGCTGGGATCACTTACACTCAGTTGGCAACTGAGTTCTGGCCATGCTGGCATCTCCTTGGGCTGGCAGCCTGCCTTGGTCTCCTTTTTCACTGCAGCTCTTCCATGAAGAAACAAATTGCAGATTTGCCACGTGAGTGCAGGAGCATCACCAAGGCCAGCCAAAGAGAGCTCAAACCATTATCCTCTGACCATCGTGCACCATCTGGAAGTGGGTTAGCATGCATTGTGCAGCACTAATGTGGTATTTCATGATATCCCAGTGACAGATGAAGCAATCATGATCTGGCGTATCCTATGCAACAGAGAAAGCATGTGACATAGTCCTTTAGGAGCTGTCCTCAATGCAGAAAGAAACTGCTTTTATTGACTTTCGGTTGGAGGAAAAATAAGGGAGCCTTTACAGCTCCAAAAAACAATTTCTCCATCCTTTAGCATGGCATTCAGTCAGGCTGTTCTAGTATTCTCTCCCACATTCATGCATAGCCCTGTAGATAATCTGGAAGCCAGTGGATTTGTTGGCTTTGACCACATGGTCCTTTGGGGATTTGGGACTTGGTGAGAGATTTATACAGATACAAACCTAGATACCTACATACATGCATGTGTGTGAACTAAGTATGTCAGCTGCATTACAGCTGATGGAATCAAAATGTCCGTGAAGTGTAGGGGGACTGAGGCCATCAGCCAATTGGTTTCTCTGGTAGAGGGGGCTCAGGCTCCTCGGGCCATACTGCCTGTTATTGTGTTGGCTTTTAGGGACAGTGGTTGTGGACCGTATACAGGATAAGCTGGGTAGCTTTCACATTTAGCAAACAAAGTTTTTTGCCAAAAAGAAACAGTTTAATGGAATGATTTCAACACCAAACACAGAAAATGCTGCCTAAGCAGAAATTAAACTATTTTCATTCTTTTAATGAACTTTGCCATCTACAGTGGTGCTTTCCCAGAGAGTCACCTCCCTGCATCATGGCTTTTATAGAATATTATATTTTGTGAGGAGCTCTCAAAAGCTGTGTAATTACCATAATTTTCTCTTCTGTTTCCCTGATGTTTGTTTAGCTCTTTTGTCAGTAACCAACTGGCAGTAAAATGGCCCGGGCTCAATTTCCAAGTATTCCAACTGAAAACACTTGATTGACACCAGCTCAAGCCTCCATCTGGTACTCGGGGAAACTCGCAGTACGCTGTCTGTGTGCTCATGACAGAGCAACGCTGCTCACTTGCCAGCACAGGGCTCTGTTAGGAACACAGCTGGATTGGGAGTGCATTTGCTGAGCTACTGCCCACTCCCTGCTCCTCGTCTGTGGGGCACCAGCCATCACCTGCCACCAGTTACCAACAGTGTGGATGGGGCTGCAAAGGCATAAATACCTGTCTGGCTCTGAGAAGGGATGTACAATATTAACTTTGTTTCCAGAAAGCCCTTATGAATTTCCCCTGATGGCAGGCAGATCCAAGATTGCATGACCTTATAACAACTCTGTCTGCCTAGAGCTTTCAGGGTAATTTATGCTTCCTACCAGACCAGGTTAAATGCCTCCTGGCTAGTTTGCTTTATTGTATCAGCATAGCCTCCTACACTGCTGAGAAAACAATGTTAGTCAAAATGGCCTTTTTAGTTACCAAATCTGGACCTACCTGCTTCTTTACCACTCATGACCCTTCAGAACAACCAATGTAGGAAGATGTGGCCTTGTTAAGTTCTAAGTGCCTACACTAAATTTTCAGATCAAGCAGAACGTCTAATGATATTGCCATCAACTAGTTTTGGAAGAGGCAACAGCAAATGGAGCAACCTCATGGCTTGTCTAGTACAGGAAACCACAGGAATACAACTTTAGGATGCAATGGACCACTTTGATGATTTGTGCTGGGTGATGGTAGTAGAAGTATGAACGATCATCTATAAATAGGACTACAGACAACATAAATATTCTTTCTGTGTGTACTGGTTTGGGCTGGGATGGAGTTAATTTTCTTCAATGCATCACATATGGTGCTGTGGATTTGTGACCAAAACAGTGCTGATAACTAAACAACGTTTTAGCTATTGATCAGCAGTGCTTGCACTGCATCAAGGCCTTCTTCGTTTTTCACACTGCTCCATATGGTGTCATGTTCAGCAATAACAACTGGGGAAAAGAAGAGGGAGACAGTGTTCAGCCTGATCACTTTTGCCTTCCCAAGTAATGGTTAGGCATGATGGAGCTCTGCTTTCCTGGAAGTGGCTGAAGATCTACCCACCAATGGGAAGTAGTGAACAAATCCCTTGTTTTGCTTTGCTTGCGCATGCAGCTTTTACTTTACCTAGTAAACTGTTTTTAACTCAACCTATGGGTTTTCTCACCTCTACCCTACCAAATCTCTCCCCCATCCCACTGGGGGGAAGTGAGTGAGCAGCTTCATGGTACTTAGCTGCTTGTTGGGGCTAACCCACACCTCCTTGCCAGCCAACATTTCAGAGGATTCAGTTTCCCCACTGTGTGAGAGCTGTGTATATACTAAACCTTACCTGGGCATTGCAATCCATGCAAGACTGGAAGACAGAATCCAGAGGAAGAGACCTAAAACCAGCAGGGACCTGGGACTTCATTGTTTTTGGTGATCTAGGAACAGGCAGGACATGAAGCTCTGCCACAATAGAGCAAAGCTGAAGTGCTAACAGGTGGATGCTGCTGCTCTGCCTTTATGTGTTCGATACACACTGAGAGAGGCAGAGAGCCATCAGTACAACAAAGGACACATAAGCTAACATGGGCAAAATAAACTGCATGGAGAATTTCTTGGTCTTTACCAGCCATAAGTATGATCTACATGAGGCTGTGGCTGCCCAAGAGGAGCCTAACGTACAGTTCCTAATGAAGAGGAAAGCAAACATAGTGAATTTTAAAGAAAAACAAGAGGAAAATGCATACAAAAAGGAGAAAATTGTTTTGACAGCTAGGGAGATAACTGAATATACCTTGGACACTGAATACCTTGTACAAAAACAAAGCTGAAGAGATTGCTTCTTTTTCCTTTTTTTTTTTTTTTTTTTTCCCAGCAGAGCACTTCCAGAGACAACTTTTTAATTTAACTTTTCTGTTTTCCTTGGCTGTAAACAAACACTTCTGAATCAACAGCTGAACAACTTCTGAGTTTGTTCTGTCCCTTTCCAATTGCACCCATCACAGCAAGGTCAGACCGCATCAATCTGTTACCCTCGCATTTCCCCAAAGAGGACCACATCAACCTTATTAGCGCTGGGAGCTTTCCACTAGCGCTTGGCCAAAGATGTCCCCGAGCACTTGGGCTCACCATGGCAACCCACATTACAGAGGAGAGCCTTCAGGAGGGCACGGAAGATAAGTCAGGCATCGTCCTTGATGTATGCTACTGCTCAGCAGTCATGCCAGCTTTCAATGGGAAGGGGACTAAATTCTGGCCTCATTTTCTCCGCTGGAGATTTGGAGTCGTTTTACCAGTCGCTAAGATTTTCAGTGTTTAATGAGGGATTTTGGCTCTGAGATCTAGGTCTCAGGTGCAGGAATTGATGGGCTGATCAAAAAAGAAAGAGAGACCAGATATATATCTCAGATGGATGCACTTGCAAAGGTCTGCTTGTCAACAAAATTATAACCTTGCACCTCTATCCACATTGACACCTCAAAAAAAATTAAGTCAGAAAATGTACTGAAACCTCAGATCTTTAACACTGCTGATAACAGTGTGGGTGCAGGAGGAACCCAGTGCTGGGGCTGCCACTGACCTCAAGCATGAATAGCAAATGCTGTGTGGTATATTTAAAATGCTGTATTGCATACAGCATTTCCTATATGGTGACTCCTGGACTTGCTGTGATCTGCTGAGTTTTATGTCAGAGCTTACCTTGTCATCAGTTTGTCAGCTCCTGTAAGAAAACTGGGGAGATGGATTTGATGGTTTTTGTTATGCAGGTTTTTTAAATTAAATAGAATCAAGTCAGTGTCAGCAAAGAATAGTCCTGTGCTTGCTGACATTAGTACAGTAGTGCGGTAACCTCTACTTAAAAGCATACAGTAGAGAAAATCAGCAAATATTCTAGGCTAATACATACTTTAAGATGTCACTTTATCTCAAGTCTGTGGATCAAGACAGGACTTCTTAAGGCAGTTCCTCTCACCTAAGGCAGGTATTTGTAGAGGACAGCTAGCTAACTCCTCACCACAGACATTTAAGGTTTTGAGGACTAGCATTAAGTGAGATGCCACTCAACACACAAATGAGATTCACCCTGTCCTCCGCATCTTTCTCTGTTCACCCACTCATGAGGAAAACGTCCTCCCCCCTGAAAAAAAGAAATCAGAATGTGCAATTACATCTGAATTTTAATTCCCTGGGAGCCGCTTTGGGAATGGGAGGGGGGTGAGGCAGGTTCATGCATTGTGAACTCTATCATTTAAATAGCTTCGTTCCCAGCAGCAGGAGACAAAGTTAATCTTCCCCAGGGGAGAAGAGGGCAGCAGATGTATTACCACAGCTCATTAACATCACCTTACAAGGGTGAAGTCCACCTGTGATGATAGAAGAGCGGATGAGGCATATAGTGTTAGGACAAAACCATGTCAGATCTGGCCAGATTTCACCTTCTAAATTAGAATTTGTTGTTATTTGACTTCCATCTTTTCTTAACCATTGAAACAGGAAGGGTAGAAAATAGGCACGTAAATGGTATGGGGACATCATTTTCCCCTGATCCAGAGCAGAGACAACTCAAGTTTTAAATGAAAACTAAAAGTAATTTTTAATTTTAGTTTTAAATATAGAAGATGACTCATTACAGAGAGAATTTGTCAGCCTGCAGAGACAATGGCAGATGCCAACAGGAGAGCAGTCTCGCTCACTTGCACAGTGCCCAGCCTCACGTAGGAGAAAAAGTGAAAAAACCTCTCTGGAACCTCAAAACTGGTAAAAGGGCTCTGAGGAGGGTACTTGGGCTGGAACCCAGCTACCAACACCAACTGGTCCCCCTGGTCAAGCAGCAGCTCTCCAGCCCTGTGCCACTGCCAGAAGCTACGCTGCAAGAAAGGAGTTGACCCTGGCACGTTCGCTCCTTCCCCAGGGCACTGCACAAGGCTCTCCCAAACCTGTGGAGAGATAAGACCTGAACTGGGTACCCCAGATGGTATTTGCTATCTAGCATATGCTTCCAGAGCACACGTTGTTTCAGTCATTTCTCACTCTGCGGATTGGTGGAGACTGGCTTTAGGGAAACACCTCGCACCTTCCCTGAGTGCTCACACACATTTCAAGTACTTCCCCTGTCTAATAGCTGCCACCCATAAGACCTGGGTTGTAGTGGTCATTTAAAACTGCTTTCTTCCAAGTATTCTTGTTCGGTGTCAGAACTCATAAGGGTGAAATATGAGGACTGTTTTTAGGTTATTCTCACTCCTACTAAACTTCTCAGCTGAACACCTCTCAAGGAAATCTTTATTTAAATTCATTTAAAGATGCTGTGATCTGCCTTGGAAACATCTTTAAATGCTGGGAGCAAGACAGGGAAACTATTCAGATCAAAAACTGTGCTGTGGTTTCATTTCTATGCTGTAGGTGTAGGACATTTTTTGTTGCAGCCTCCTGACTCCCCCCATTCGACTTCTGGAAGTCCCTTCATGATGAAATGATGCTGTGATTTTATGGCTGCTCAAACTCAGGCTTTTGTACACAGCCCTGCAGCTTTAACTGAGCATTTCTTAAACCACACATCCTTTTGAGGTATGTTGATGCCTTCAGATTTCTTTTCATAAATGTTTCCTTGAATAAAACATCCCACAACCTTTATTCCAGTCACATACATGATTTATGCCTGCCTGTTTCTGAGAGGAGTGAACAGATGCATACTGTAAGGGGACAGGGAGGGCAACATTTAATGCGTCCTCCAGCATATATTGAAATAAAATTTAAAAAGTGTTCTATATTTCATTTATCACCATGTTACCTTCTAAATGTAGAGACTTCCTTCACGTGTTTTAGTATCTTCCTTCCTCTCTTCCTGTAAACTAACACGTCTTGGACACTTTGTTGTTTCCCCAGTATAGAAAATAGCCAGTGTATTTTTAACTACATTTTTGGTGTCTTTTTCTCATTACATGGTTTACATAACTTTGGGCGGGAATTTTCAATAGGAAGGAACTTCTACTGGAGGAAGCAGGCTCCAGCCGATGCCTGTTTACTAAAAGACAATTTACATATTTGTAGATAAATAAAAACTTACGAATGACTAATTTGGTGGCTTCAGGCCACCACCCATATCTGATGACCATGAGGAACTATTACCTTTGTCCTGGGGTGGAGCCCCAAGAATCCTGTAGTGCCTCAGCACAGTGTAGCAAAACTGCAGGCTCTTGCAGGCCTCTTCCCAAGGCACAAATTTCCCTTGGAGGAAGCGACTCAGCAGAAAAAAATGCTCCAGTCCCTATTCATATACCTTTGCCTCCACACTTTCTCCTTGGAGATATGGAAGGAGAGAATGAGACTGGCCCTGTATCTCCACCTCACTCTCATGCTATGATGGAAATGTTCCCAGAGTAAGCATCGACCTTCACATATTGATGAATTTATAAAAATCTGTGTGCTGTGTGAGCCTCACTGGTTAATAAACCAGCTTTACAAAATGGGAGCACGTTTTTAATCCTGTTCTCAGAGAGGAATAGAAAGGAACACACGAGTCATAGCAAGTCATAATAATTTAGACACTTAGGGACAACCAACAAAACAAACCATGCTGCAAATGCTATTGAATAAACTACTGGCACTGAAATCAATCAAGCAAACTGGAGCTGTTCATAAATGGACGGCTGAAGGAATTAAAATTAGGACGGTGTCACAGGTCAGCTATCTCTTTACAAGCATTTGGTCAGGAATAAACATTTTTTATCCACAGTAATGAGCAGTTCTCACTGTACCTGTATTAAATAACAGTCTTCCCTCAGTGATCCTGCAGGGATAGGAGAATTGATCTGCTGAGAACAATTGTAGATTTGGAGTCTGACTTTGAGGGCATACTAGAGGAAAATGAATATTCCTCAGGATTTTTCTGTGGAAACTCAACTTGAGAGGTAACTAAATGGGATCAATCCGAGCACACAATTTTGCCTCAAAACTGAACTGAAACACAGGTTCCCTGAAAACTCATCATCCCACCATGTTCCGTTCACCTCCCTGGAGGAACCAGGACCCACAGAGCAGGACTTTAGGACAGCTATGTAAAACAGTCCCTGACACATCAGCTTATGATTTAGCCATTTCTGTGTGCCCAAAGCTGTAAATGCTCTGGTTTTGTCCTATGTGATGAACTGTCTTGGAAAGGCATAAATAATACTGATTCTTACATATTCGCTCACTTATCTTACACCTTTCTTCTCTATTATTTTGCAAACATCACAGAAAAGAGGCATTTTCCCCTTCACAGCCATCCACTTTTTTTTTTTTTTTTTTTTTTTTCCCCTGTTGCAATGGGCTTAGAAACCACTTGGGGGAACTTTTTACATTGCAGTTAATTATAGATAAAGAAATTGTGCTGTCATAAGTACCTACCGGTCTGACTCAGCTGCTTTTATGAGCGTTGAATGTAGTAGAAATCCAGCTGATTTCACTGGGAGCTGTCGAATATTTAGGACACTTGAAAATAAAGCATTCTTTAGATTTTCTTCTGTGGTTATAGGGTTTGGGAAAGTTTGGATTTAGGTAAATTCCCGATTGAACATCAAACTGGCATTGAAGCTATTTATTTATTTATTTTAAGTCTTGAATTGTATATTGATCTAAAAAAGCTGGGAAATGTTATTTAGTTGCTAAACAGGATTTTGTAGAGCTGTTAAGATAACTATTGTGGACAGTTAGATTGAGGTCGTGCTAGAACTGGTTCAACAGATAGCAGCAAAAATCTTGCAGGACCTTCTCCCCTTAAAGCTCTTTCATTTAAAATATTGTTTGTGCCCTCATAAGTAAGAGCTGGGTGGGAGCAGAAACGAGCACAACAAACTTTCTCCAGCAGCCAAGAGCTGCAAAGCCGTTCCCTAAGCCCAGGCAGCGGTGGCAGAGACACAGAAGCAGCACCAGGTGGAGCTCGGCCACTCTTTTCGCCTTGAAAATCCTCCCTATAAATCTCACCTTCCATATGTAAGGCTGTACAAAATAGATTTTTTTTTTTTTTGGGGGAGGTGGGGGGGAGAACATCCTTTGAATTTAATATTGAATGCCAAATAATATTACACTGTGTTATGGTGCTGCTGTACCTGTGCTGGAAGACAACACCATGTGCAGTCAACCCCAAGAGTGGGGACAAAGCCCTAGGTGATGCTCCCGTGTCCCTCTTATAGCCTTGTGACTCAGCCAGCTGTGCTGTGTTTTCATCACTGCAACTGCTTCCACCTGGCTCTGATGACCTCCTGGTCTCAGCCTAGCAGTCAGGCACTGGGCACAGCTCCTTCATCCTTGGCCAGTTGATCAGTTTTGCTTCAGGGATGTTCTCCTCTCTCCCTGCCATGGTCCTGGAGCAAGCAGCCCTCTCCAGCCAGGCTGCCCACAGCACTCCAGGTAGCAGGACTGCAGCATTTCCCACGCTGTGCTTTTTCACACAACACCAAGGCATTAATCCTATGTGCTTCTAAGGTTGCGAGAAATGAAAGATTACCCAGTGAGGGACAAAGTTATGCCCTTTATGCCTCAAACTGCATCTAAACCCAGGAGTACTTTTATTTAAAACAAATGGACTGTTAGGGCACTAATTTGTGCATTAAAAAAAAAATATGTCTGAAACCCTTTATCTGTGACAAATCATGGAAACATCCATTTAAGTCCCAGTGAAATCAATGGGACTGAAGTGCATATCTTAGTTTCATCGTGAGGCTGGTTGCCTTCCAGGCAGAGGCAGAGGCTGGTGGCAGGACAGTGACCAGCAAACACTGCCGTGCCCCCTGCTTCTCCTCCTCCTCACCCAGCAGGGACAAGGGAAATGCTCTGGGCAGAAGCATTTTAGGGAAGAAATGAAGCAAAGAGAGAAACAAAGCAGAGCAAGAAGTGAACAGAGATATTCCCAAGTGACAAACATGAGGCCTGTGAGAAGGTTTTTTTTTTTTTTTTTTTTTTTTCAGATGATAGGGAACAAACAGAGCACTTGGTAGTCCAAAGCATGCACATAGATAGTTGTGTGAAAGGTTGGTGGGGTTATTTTGTTTTTGCAATAAATATGATCTTGTGGTCTTTGGCAGGTTATTGGATAAATCTCAGAGGCTCAAAGTACATATGCTGAGGTTATGCAGCTCCCCTCATTTAAAGGTCATCACTGGGATTTGTGGAAATTTACACTATGAATGCTTGTCTTTGACAAAACCATCAGGAGATTTCTCCCCGAGAAAACAGTAGATTGGAGTTTGGTATCTCCCTGGTATGACTTCACACAGCTAACTAACTAAAAATGTGATAGCTCAGAGGCACAGCATTGCCAGGTGAGCTCCCAGTGGAGCTCTGGTTTGCCCAGCACCAGTACTTTGGGAGAACTGGCAAGCAACCCCTCAGCTTCTGACCGGGACATCTTGGGAGCCTAAGGATTTATATCACCCTTTAAATATTTACGTTGCAGCAAAAGTTTTATCTATTATGACAAATTTTTAAATAGAGATTGAAATGATCATTTTTCTTCTTGCTGTAGGAGTACACGTTTTTCTTTGCCTCCAAGTCTAGAGGCTTAGGGTTGCCTGGTTACTCTGACTCAGAAGCTCTGTGAGGTGTCTCTTGATGAAGAAGCAGATACAATTTGGCAATTAGAGATGCTTGATTTGTCATCTAAATGTAGAAATCCTTAGGAAAAAATAACCATTTGAAGAGCAGTTGTACAGAACCAGCAGTGAGAAACTCTTATAACATACGTTGGTATTGAACATGACCGTGTCATTTATCATAGATGCAGGAAGGTCATCAATAATGTATACAATAATTAGTTTTTTTTTTCTTATTTTTTTTCCAGTGTTCAATTAATAGAATCCTGTTTATAGCATATATGAATTGCAAATGTGATCAGAAAAACATTTTTGTTGAAGAATTTCCCCACAGACTAGTACTATAAAAAGACTGTTCAGCTGGCAATCTATTCATCTCAGGCTGGAGTTAAAGACACACAGTGTATTCAGGTTAGGGCCAGAGCACAACCATCACAGCAAGATAAAAGCATCTTACATGCTTAAGTGTGTGTGTACATGCATAATTGTACATACGTAATATGTATGTATAAATTCATCCAGATGTTCTCGTGACTACACTCTTGTGCTGATTTGGGAAATCTGTGGTTGCAGAAATGGTTTTATTTTGCAAAGTATTTAATTTAGAACTGAAGCCATGTTGTTTTACTACTTGCTTCGTAGACATCCTTTCTTTGCTTGCATGTTGATGAATGGCAGCAAACAGTCTGAAAGCAAGGATGGGCATTTAGTGGTGGGGAAGGTTTGTGGGAAGGTGTCATCTCTGGACCGAAGGTTTTGCTTAGAGGTCCAGGGAGCAGAAAGGCTCTGCCAGTGTAAACTCCAAAAGGTCAAAATTTGATTTAATGAACTTAACCTTCAAGAAAACAAACCTGTTTCAAGTAGAATATCCCCTTAGGCTTACTTGATTCAACTAGCAATAAATGCAGAACAAACACAATGAAAAAGTCCCATTTTGTAAATCCTGCCATGTTTTTAATCAAGTGTAACCAACTCATTTTATAAAGCCTGAGATTAAATTTGGCTACATAATGCTAAATCTAGTAGAGGTAAGGTAGATCCATGACATTATGATGTTTCCTTTATACACTTGGTATTATGCCTACTGCTATAAACCTACATCACCTATGTCTGAATAATCATTTGTAACTTGTATATCAGATGTGCTGCCATAGACTCTCTTTGGATACTGCCTAGTTAAATGGGGCGATTCACTTAAATATCTCCATGCTGTTAGGATTTCCTACTTATATTATCTTTTTTCAGCTCTTAAAATGCAATGGCTTTGAGAGAGAAACAAACAACTATAGGTGTTTCTTCTCTTGTTATTATAAAGGATAACTCAGGAAAAAACATATATCTCGCAGCCTTATTTTTGGTACTATATAACTGTCTTTAACAACCATTTTAAATATGAAACTGTGAAACTCTTAGCTATTAATGATATCTAGAACTTCTTCAATGAACATTGGTAAAGAAAAATTGTACCTCACTGATCTTTTAAAGACTTCTTTAAAATTATTTTCATTTTTACCAGAATCAGCTGCATAGGTTATGAAACAAACCATTAGAATAAATGCCAGTTTTCATCAGGACATGAGGTGAGCCTGTTAGGCACATCAGGAATATGTAATTTATTTACTAATTGCTGAGGGAAAAGTCCAGTAAAATGAATTAATTTGCAGCTAACTAATCCCCCCCCAAAAAAACAAACAAACAAACAAACAAGAAAAACTTGCATCAAAATATCAGGAATTGAGAAGATGTCTGGAAGTTAACACAGCAAAGCTGACAAAGAGCCAGAAAAAGCTTTCAGATCCAAACCCAAGTGCAACAAATTTGCAGAGGGAATAAAGATGACCCAACGCGGAGATGACTGCTTTCTCTAGCCCCAAGGGACTGATGCTGCGGCCTGAAGCAGGTAGGTACAGCTGCAACAGCGAGAGTCTCAGCCACAGCCCCCAGGAGGACCAAGCTGGTGGCAGGCTGCGACTCGTTTCTGTGCTTCTGATTTATTTTTGGTACAAAGGAAAGGATTTCAGTATCGCTCCTTCTTGCCTAATGAATGATCAAAATTTTCCAGATCTTTGGATGGAAACATGCTGGGCCCAATTTCGTTATTTCCTGGTCTGTGCCCACACGATGCATTCACAGCCTCCCAGTGGAGTGGCATTATTGGCAGCTCAGAGCAAGAATAAATAAATTGGTGAGAGACAGCTGTATGCCATATACATCCACATATCTCGCTGTGAGGTTCTGGGCTCATATTCAGAGCTCCTTTCTGCAGGCTAATCCGTATTCCGTATCCCAGAACTCGTCTGGCTTCCTATTGTGAACTAGAGCAGTTTACCTCTTATTACTCACTTCATTACATATCTAGTGCATGATATTAATGATGTTGTCAGCAAATGAGAAGAATTACAAACACAAGTGAAGGCAGAGAAATAATCAAGGAGAAGAAAGCTTCTCATGGAAAAATGGAACCTCAAATGGAGAACTCTGCTTAAAACATCTTTTTCTAAATGATAGGGCCCTTGGTGTTGGGGATGCTGGTGTTTTTTTATGTAATTTTGGTCATGAGGTCAAGGAATACTTAGATATCGAATGTGAAGTGTTTTTGTTTATTTGTTTATTTGTTTCTAGCAGTGTTTTTACAGACATTTTACAGACCCTAGAAATTCAGTAGCCAATGCCAGCAATGCCTCAGCTGTGTGGGAAAGGACTGGGACAATACAGTTTCATAACCTGAAATGGCCTGAATATTCACCCAGCTTATATATTCACTTACGTATCACGTATTCACTTCTGTGTGAAAGAAAAATTGTGAGGATTGCCTAGACCCTTATTTCCCAGAGACCGGTTCTGCTGACAGAGGAGGGGAAGATGAGCAATGGGGAAGGTATCCATATGAATATTTCTGAAAAAAGTGTAACAGACTAGGTTTCTGGGTTTTCCAGGCTCCTCTGAAGGATTAAGCATACCCTACAGTGGATTTTCTTGAGCCTGAAGCTGTGAATGCAGAGTGACAGTATTCAGACAGGACCCCTAGGGACCCCTGGATACATTGCTGACAAAAAGTAGGCTGTGTGTATGTGTTGCTGCACGTAGGAGTTAGCTGCTCCTCTGCCATGGAAGTATCCTCCTCAAAGATATTTTTGTGTAGCTGCTCTTCCTCCCAGTACATGCAAAGCCTTGAGCTTTAATTGCCTTCTGATGTTTGAGCCTTCAGGCTTCATGTTTTTATGATCCTCTTTCCAGCTATTTAATTCATATAAATTGGTATAAATTAAAGCTGACTTTTTCTACCTAATAAAGTCCCTGCATTTAAATACGGAAACTAAAGATACACATTTCTATCAAAGAGCTATTTCAGATGTTTTCCTGAATTATTATTTAAGGGTGTAGGAGGAGGGGGAGAGGGAAGAAATGCATTTCTCTCTGATTCAACCTCAGAGGTGCAAACCATAAATGAAGCTGATCCTCCAACTCCCTTCCTAGCAAACAATGGGTCTTAGACATAGCTTGAGGCCACTTTTCCATCCTACGGTTTATTTCCTCAGCATTAACTTTGGGAAAGAGAAGTGATGCCATGCAGCATTCTGGCCTAGCAGGAGCTAGCAGCATTATCTACAGAAAGCTTTTAAAAATCTTTCTGAAAGTATCAAA